TTACTGAAAAAGAACATAGTTTATATCAAAGTCAACGTGCTCATGAAATTGTGTTTGCCCAAGAAAACTATATTCGTGAGTTTATGTTAGAAGAGATCCATTATAGTGATAATATATTATTGACATATCAACGCGAGTTATCCGCACTACTTGGTGAGTTTCAAATAAAACCCGACGATTTAGATCGCACTCTTTTGTTTGCCGTACAAATGAGAACTAGAACAACATTACAATTGCTCGATACGACCCGTCGTACTATTCTTGTAAGAACTCTATTTCAAGCTAATCTTTTGAATGACAAATGGAAAAAGCAGATGGCGATTCTTTATAATGCTAATGTCAGCGGAGTACAGTTCGATCAAGTAATTGATCGGCCTTTGTATAAATTTCCAGATATTGAACGTGCCGATCTTCGATATACTTCATTTCGTTCGATGTCGTTTGATAGATCACCTTCGTTCGCTTTTTCTAATCTTGATTATACGGACTGGTCATTCTCTACATCTACCTCCATTAATTTCCAGAACGAGATGACAATGAATAATGCCATATTTGCTGAAACTCAATTGACGAATGTAGGGTTCAACGAAATATCTATGAATCACGTCTCGTTTCAGTATAATAAATATTGTTCAAAATGCGCATTTTTAGACATTTCATTGTTAGGTGCTCGACTGGATCATTCGATATTTATTCAGTCAGATTTTGCTTTCGTATCTATGGCTGATGGAAACATGAGTAATGGTTCATTTATCGATTCAGTTTTTGAAACGACAAATTTTGATCGAGTCGATTTTTCCGGAGCCGATTTTCGGCGATGTACATTTCAAAATATATCAATGGTCAATTGTTCAATGTTCGGAGTGAAATTACAAGAAACAAAATTCTTTTATGTGAATCTGTTTGGATGTATGGGCTTTCAAATCGAACAAATCTATTCTTTGTCAGCAGCTAATAAAGTCACTTTACCAAATGGAACACTGTGGCATTCTCAAGCGGAAACAGACGATCATATTTTCTAAGGGTCAATATAATCTTGATATGTGTCAGCCCAGTGTGGGGGAGAGTATGGATGAGGTTGAAAGAAGAATCCAATATCCCCACCCAACCACACTCTGAAAGACTAAATCTGATAAATTTTATTCATCAACTTCTTTAATCTATATTTACTATTCATAATAAAATTATCCAAATTGAACCTTTTTTATTCTCTGGTTGATCATACCATAAATGAGAATTAATTAGTTCATGAAGAAAATCATAATTAATCATTTTCGTTCTATGCCATTAATGATCAATTTTCGACTATTTATTACTATATGGTATACTATCAATAGTAAATTCAAGTTTATATTTAAATGGTAATGAACCACCTTTGAAAATATAATCTGATGAATAACAACTGTGTAGTGGTTTGCATTATTGTGTTTAAGCTATTGCGCCATAATTGGTGAACTGATTTCATTTGGAAATTTCCATGTAAAAAAAGGTGTTTAACTATATAGATATATTATTTTAATAAAGTTTCGAAATAAATATCTTTAAAAAAAAAGTATGAAAATTATATCTCTTATCGTTACCGAGATGAGTTTACAACAAATTTCATTTTAAAAAGCATCCATCCACGCCCACTCCCTCAAGATTGTCATCCTGCTCTGTAAAAATATTTAAATTAATTTTTCGAACTTATAAAATAATCGATTATATGAATGTATCGATAAGATAAAAAGCAAACCAAGTTTAAATGATATAAGCTGAATTATGAAACGAATTTGAAAATAAATAATAGTTTATATTAGTTTTTTCATTAAATTAATAATTGAATAAATCATAGTTAACATCCATGTAGAACGATAATTCATGCAAGCATATGATGATTTTGTTGTTGTTACTAAAAGACAAGATCAATTTTTCTATCAGAATTAATTATTTAGAAAACTAAATCATTTCTATCTCTTTGAAATGCTACAATGATTAGAAAAACGAATATTTAAAATCTTTCTAATTAATTCGACGTTATTTATAGCTATTATCTTTCACTTACTGAATGCAGTTGCTGTTGATATAGATTTAGATGTAGATGAAACAGTTTTTGTTGTTGTCGCTGTTGATGTAGATTTAGAAGTAGATGTAGATGAAATACCTAAATAAACGAATTGATTTGAAGATAAGTATGATATCCGCGTGCTCATCCATATCGCCAGATCTACTAATATCTTCACTAATTCCAATATCCACAGATACATTGAAATACCCATACTTCTTCTTTCTTCTCAATCTTTAGAACTCATTCGCTGAAACATCGATGTTTACACATGTTTTTATCATTTTTGTTGAACCATCTTTATCTTGTGATTCTATTTTTGAACTAAGATAATTCGATTTTCTCAAACGCATAGGATCGATTCATCTGTATCAGTTAGTCACTTGCTATTTTTAAATACAAAACAATCTTATCGACCATGTATATAAACGATACTGAATCATCTAGCTAATTGGAAAACTCAACAGAGTACTCGCATTAAAAAAAGAAATACCAGCAAATGTAATAAATTTTAACAGATTACTCTGAATTTCATTAGTCTAAAGGGAAACTTCATAGACATATCTATCATTTTAAGAACAACTAGTATGTAAAACTCAATACATAATGAAACTGAATGCATTTACACTTTTTTTTTATTACAGTATAAAATGAGTACTTACTAGTACGTTCAAGAACGGCTTTTGTTGGTCCAGACACAATGATTGAAAATGTTCCTGTAACATTTGCTTGTGATGTTGCTACAACTAATATGTATTTAGTATTGACTTCAAGAGCAATTAAGAGTTTGAATTGATTATCAGAACATCCATTATTATCCACTTCGAGTAAGTTTTCAGTCGGATTTAATGGATTGAAACTATTCTTGTAAATAGACCCGGATAAATCGGATCGACTCTTGCTTGAAATAATAAATAATCCCGACATGTCCACATTGATTTGTATACTTTCATAATAATATTTTCCAGTTTCAAAGGGTTGAGGAAAATGTTGACTATTCTCTGTCAACATTGATAAATATGTCGACTGGATCACTGGTGGACTATCTAATCAATCAGAATACTTAATATATTTATTAACATTGAAAATAGTTTCTGAATAGTGATTTTTTTACAAATACATTTTCCTGAGGTCACTATTTTATTAAAAAGAACACAGACGATTTCGGTGAACAAACAGAAAGAAATCATAAAAATTATTTTATATAGAATGCAAGAAAGGAACTTTATTGTATTTATCTAATCAAGTTTCTGTGACATACGAGTAGCACGTATCTTGAACTTACGTTAAAGAACAAACATTTTAGTTAATACATAACGGGAAATCACTTTTCTCAATTGTGTATGAACATTGAAAATTTATCTCTGTTGAGTGTAATGTATATTGCGAATAAAAACTTATCTAAGACATTCAAAGAAATTAGAGGGAAAGAGACAAAACGCACCAACTTTTTTTTACGATTTCCCTGAAGAGATGCTCGTCCCGACTTCCCGACATACGAAAACATGCATAATCTTCGGAATGCCAAAAATTCAAAAAATAAGCAGGGTGTTCGGGATGAAAGTAACCGGAAGATCGTAACAATGAAAATATGCAGATCGTAATGAAAAGAGGCAAGATGTTCGTAACTATGTTCGTGTGTGCACTTTTTTGAGAGATTTTAAATGACTCAGTAGCTTGTATTTTAAGATAATGAACAAAACAATGTTCTCATGAATACAATAAATCTTTTTCAACTCAGAAAAAAGCACAAGAAATAGCATAGATAATCAAACAAAGTACAAAAAATAGAAAACTAAATCATAGAAAAGAATAGAGACATTTGTTTTAATGTTGATAAAGAATGGGGATTTCTATCAAAAGAAAAAAAGTGAGATGTGCAAAGAAACGGAATGTTATTTTTTCATCCGTTTATTTGTTGTACCAGGACTCTTAGCTTTCATTGCTTTACCATTTGTGGGAGTAGTTATACATAATACTTTTTCCCACGCCCTCACTCTAATATTTACATTCTCCTCAAGATTAGTGCCCTCTATAAGTATTATAATATATTTACGATCTCCAGGTAAAATGAGTTTACGGACACCCGGTCATTTTCATCCCGATTTACTGACAGTATTAATTTACATATAGTCGACCACTTCGTTTCGATTTCCCTGTTTTTTTTAAAATTATAGTCGCCTAATAAACTTTTTTTACGGACTCCCGGTAAAAATGGCAAAAAAAAAAGTCGAATCCGAACACCTAGACAAATTACCATGTGTTCGGGATGCCTAGTACGTTTTGTCTTTGTCCCAAATTAGATACTAGATGGAATATGAAAAAGTATTCTAAGTACTATTCTTTTTTAGAACAAAGACATAGAAGTATCGAAATTGTTCTTGAATAAAAAAAGAGCTAAAATTTTTTAATCAGTGAGATATTAAGTATATAAATATTTCCTACAATTCATACTTTTGAAACTAATTTTTACAAATGGTATCGATACTTACTTAGACGTTCGAGACCGACACGGTTGGGACCAGACACACGGATTGAGAATGGTCCTGTTACATTTGAATTAAATGTTGTTACAACCAATATATATTCAATATTGATCTCAAGAGGAATACTAATATTGAACTGAGAATTACCGGAACTATCATCATCTGCGGAGATTAAAAATGCAGACGGACTAAATGGATCAAAATACTTTGCGTACATATAGCCGTATGTATTGATATTGCTCATACTATTAAAACTATAATGACCACTTTTATAAACCTGAATTTTTATGGCTTCATAGTAGTACGAAATATCACAACCAGTACGTGGATATATTGGGTGATTTGATGTTAATGCAGATGAGTACATTGTTTCAACCACCGATGACATGTCTATTCAATAAAAGTATAAACTTTATTTATTATTATTTTTCGATTGCTGTTATTCATGAAACAAAAATCAAATGAAACTTTATAGAATTGATATGAAAAGTCACTTTATTCATAAAACTCTTGTCAAACAAAATAATATCTTCATCTGTCGAATATTTCATATAAACAGTTACTAAAGACTGTATCTGTAGACTATTATGAAATCGGGAGTTCAATATCTCTTTTGAGTAATTCTGCGAAATGCTCAGTAATCCTATATGTGTCTTATGTGTATAGAGCTAATAATTAGTATTATTCATATCATTAGTATGTATCCAACATTTTCTTCAACTTTATAGAACTCATGTAAATTTTATGTTAAGTTTTCCGGCACTCCTTTCTCTTCCAGTTACTAATAAGTGCGCATAATATAAGAGTGATACGTGAGTTACACATTTTTATTCTGAAAGGGCTAAAGTGTAATACACATTTATTAGGATAGAGAATCAAATAAATCATGTGTTTGACAGTAGTTATGTATAAAATAATCTGAGAAATAATCTTTACATCAGCTGATTCGTATAGATCAGGAACTTTATGACAAACTTTTACTACTGAATCATTTTCTTCAGAAAATAGTTATACTGATACATAGAGAAATGAATAACTCTAATGAATATTCATCTATACCAAAATTTTTGTAGAAACTAATCCTACTCTGAAGAGATAGAACGTTATATTAAACTATTTCAATACTTACCACATGATTCTTCCAAGTATTGAAATTTTTGAATTCGATGATTTGTTTGATCAGTCACAAATATGTTTCCAGAACGATCGAAACTCAAACTGGATGGACTAGTCAATTGACTGGATTGTGAACCCATTCCATAACATCCAGCTAAACATCGAAAACCATTCATGCCTGAACCAACAATACGATGATTGCCAGAATCCACAATAAATAGATATTTATCAGCATCTAATATAACTCCAACTGGACAACGAAGTGTAATTGTTGGATATAGTGTTGTACTTCCAGCTACTGTGATGCCATGTAATTCTCCTGACTGAAACAATTGAACTCGATTATTTCCACAATCTGCCACATATAAATCCAAATTCACATCGACAAAGATTCCACGTGGACTTCCGAGTTGATTCGAGGCTGATCCATAAATACCTGTTCCAGCAGCAACAGCATTTGAATTCATCAAAGAACTTAATGATCTTTTCACCACTTGATGATGATCAGGCATTGAACAGTAAAGAGTGTCATCGATATCAACAAACAAACTAGCACATGATGAGTTGATATTCATCACCGCGGCAAAGGTACTTGTTGCTGCACTCCATTTCAGTACTCGACCATTATGATCACCATCATCAATATAAATATCACCATTTGATGTCACGAAGAGAGACAAGGGTTGCATAAAACCGCCACTAATGATCTGTGGTAGATTGACACTCCCTTCTTGCCACATTACAATTGTGTTTTTTTCTTGATTAGCGACATAAACTGTATTGTTTGTGTTCACAAAAAAAGCATTAGGATGTCGGCCAACAATTGATTGATTAGCAACAGTGATTCCATTGGAATTCCAAGTGGCTGTTGGGCAAAACTTTGGTTGATTAAATGAAAGGTCTAAAAATAAGAAAAATAGAAAGAATAAATTGTATCAAAGAAAATAGTTGAATAAAACAAATTATTTATCTAAGGAGAAATTTTATCAATCAAAAAATCTTTCTTTGGAATTTTGAACGTCTCATTCGCCTTTCTCAAGTGAATTTTAATTATTAAGTTGGTTCTTTATAAAATAAAAACTGTTTCATTGATGAAATATTCTTTGAGAGATATGAAATGACACACGAAAGCTCGTTCTACCATTTCATTAAGGATAGAACTTTTTCTTTCTCTATTATTTAATCTCAACAAAAAGCTGAAATTTGCTTGCTTTAGACGATTGAAACATCTTTATTAACTTCTGTTACTTATCTATTCACATCTCTTCATTTTATTCGACTTACCAAAAGAATCTTTCATCAACAAAAATTTTTGAATTCGAGAATTTCTTTGATCAGAAACAAAAATGTTTCCGAAATGATCGAAACTCAAACTAACTGGACCAGACAATTGATTGGATTGTGAACCCATTTCATGACATCCAACTAAACATCGAAAACCATTCGCGCCTGAACCAACAATACGATGATTGCCAGAATCCAAAATAAATAAATATTTATCAGCATCTAATATAACTCCAGTTGGATAATGAAGTGTAATTGTTGGAATTAGTGATCCACTTCCGGCTACTGTGATGCCATGTAATTCTCCCGACTGGAACAACTGAACACGGTCATTGTAGGAATCTGCCACATATAAATCCAAATTTACATCAACAAAGATTCCATGTGGACCATAGAGTTGGTTCGAGGCTGATCCGTAAATACCTGTTCCAGCAGCAACAACATTTGAATCCATCATCGGATCATTTAATGATGTTTTCAATACCTGATGCTGATAATGCATTGAACAGTAAAGAGTATCATGGATATCGACAAACAAACCGGCACATAGTGAGTTGACATTCATCACTGTGACAAACATACTAGTTACGGCATTCCATCTTTGCACTCGGCCATTCTCAAATCCATCATCAATATAAATATCACCATTTGATGTCACAAAGAGAGACAAAGGTTGCTTAAAATCACTACTAATGATCTTTGTTGGATTGAGACTCTCTTCTTGCCATATTATAATTGTGTTATCTACTGGATTAGTGACATAAATTGTGTTGTTCGTGCTCACAAAAATGGCGGAAGGATATTGACCAACCATCGATTGATTAGCAAAAGTAATTCCATTGGAATTCCAAGTGGCTGTTGGACGAAACTTCGGTTGATTAAACGAAGATGCTTAAAGAAAAAATTAAATTTTAAAAAATATCATATGATTTTCGGAAAGATTTAATATTTAAAATACTGAGGATGGGCGTGGTTACTCGCAATGAGTAGTATTCAACAGTCTACACAGATATGACAATTCATCAATCAACTAAGTCTAATCTTATTTTTTTTACAAATATTGAATTGATTTGAGCGCAGAGTTTGAAATAATAATGATTACCTGATATTTGATTGATCACAACCAAAAAAATCAGCACGAGAATATTAACATTAGTTTTTGTTATCATATTGAAAAAAACAATTTTTGTTTTATGCTCATAAATAATAACGAATAGTGAGACTTTTATAAGTCGCTAGAAAGTCAATACTGTTGTTTGATAAAAACAAGTGAAATCAAATCTTCATTTTTAATCTTCTTCTTCTTCTTCTCATGATCAACAAATATTATATAGACGAAAAGCATAAAAACTAATATTTTGTCATATTACTTTACACTAGTTCTTAATGAATAAAGAGAACTATTATTTCATATATCTTACAATTTCAAAAAGAATAAAACATATTAAAATTCTATAATATATCGTTTTCAATTCAAACGAAGTATAATGATCTAATTCGAATGGCAATCAGTATATGATATCGAAATTAATCATTAGAAACATAACAAACAGAATTTTAACACCACACTGTCTATGGACGATTCTTTAATAACAAAAAAAATGAAGAATGTTGCTAGAACCATCTTCACTTTAAGAGTGTGTATGTAAGTAAGGATGAACATGAATGTTGTACTCATCCATTATTCATCTATTTACAACTATATTCACCCACATCCTCAAGAGAAGTTCGCTTTATCTCACTTCAAATATTTATAGAGAACGACAGAAGTTAAGAATAAGCAGAAGATTAACTGATTAAAATAAATATAAAAAGAAAAGTAATATCTCCTAATCAATATGTCAATAATAAAAGGTGTTTTTTTCTTACAGAATATCGCCTCATTTTGAATATATAATCGTAAAATATATAATAGCATCACAAAATACGGTCCCTTGTTATTTATTAATAAATTGTATATAGACATTTTTTGAAATACGATTCACATCTGCCGAGGTGTATGATGAATTTATTTATTACTTGTCAAGCACCTTCCCTTTTGTATAGTTTGTCAATAATAGCTCATATTACTTTTTTGTTGATGATTTTTAATATATTCTTTATTTGACATAAACAGACAATCTCATTACAGAAGCGTCTACTAAGAAATTTATATTTGATATCAGCGATAAAGAAATCAAGCCAAAACTAATATGCACTTCAAATACAAGAATTAAACTATACCACTTGAGAGTGGGTAGTAGTGGATGTTTGCTCTTTCACTTCTCACGCACTCACCCACACCCTCAAGATTTGTTCTAATATGGGAAGAAAATAGATTTAGTTAGTTTTTTTTATAATCATGTTCATTCTATTTCCAAAGTAAACAGAAAAATAAAGTATCATAGATTTATGAAATTTTCATTGGTAATAAATCTCGTTGAATCTCATGATCATCATGTCTTTTACCAAGCCATCGATTACATGAAAAACTAATAGTTTCATTTGTATTCATGTTAATAACTTCAACTTTATCGAGAAACCAATCAGGTGATATCATAGAACTATCATGTTCAATATGTAATTTAGTTAATTCACCTAGAATTCAATAATAAATTCATCAACTTGACCACGTTGAAATAAAATTCGACCTTTCTGTTTTGATCCTCGAATACCAATATTATCAAGAGTACCATAAAGAATAAGTGATACATTTGCACCTGTACCAGCATGTGAAACATCACATGTATAAAATGTGACTTCATATGAAATCACTATGTAAATGACGAGAAAAATAATTTGTATTTTATCGAAAAGAAAAAAAAAGAAAATCTTACAAGGACGAAATCATGATTAATTAGAATTTTGTACTTTAAGTATACGTTTAGTTCTTTCATCACCCTTTTCTTTTGATAACCATTCATGACAAGCAAAATAAAATGCACGTCCTTTTGTTGGCATTTCAATAGTAATATCATCGAGAAACCAACTGTCAGCTAATGATTCACCATTATGTTCAATTTCAACAACTTCTAAATCTCCAATATCAGGTTCTTGTAAAGAAAATATTTCAACTTTTCCTGGTTCGAAACGTTGTCATTGCATTAATTCTAATGGTATGACACGAGTGGGCGGATAAATGTCGCCTTTATCCACACTCACACCTACAATCCCAACAATAATATAACAATTATTCACATATTTTACGACTCTTCCTTCTTTTCAATCGATTGAAGAGATTAAATTGTTTCATTTATTTATTTAAAATTTGTCGAAATCAATTCTATAAATGAATCTTCTAATCATTTTTTATATTTTATTTATAAAACATCATCACTATTATCTTTTCTTCTTTCATTTTTATTTCAATGATGATAAGAACAATATCATCAAATCTTATTTTATCACAAAATCGATCAAGTCATCATTGAAATATTTTCTATCTTTTTATTTAATCATAAATTATAAATTCATTGTATCATCTTATCAGATTTACTAAATTCAAAACTAAAATAACGAATAATTCATTATATCATTATTATCAACACAATAAATAGATCAAATTAAATAAATTAACAAAAGTTTATGTATTGTTAAAATACTTCAATATACACAAAGTATTAATTCGATTCATTTTATTTTATTTGTTGATACACACACAACTGTAAAACACTACAATGTTCTTTCATCTTACGTTCCTATCTTCTCAGATTATCTTATCTTCGATACAATTCAAAACTCACTTCTATATGTAACTCAATCGAGTCACAAAATTTGTTTCATTATTTTGAATCAAAAATATAAAAAATTAATTAATTTTATTAGTTTTAACAAAATGCATCAAAGCAAATATTTATCAATAAATCAAACTTAGTTTAATTATTAACAAAATTTCATTTTGAATTTTTATATTTATTTAGTTTTCAATCAAAATAAACAAAATTATTTTCACAAAAAACTTTAATTATTCATTTTATCATCAGTCCCAACAAATTTAATTCAAATTAATATCAAATTTTTGTATTCGATGATTACCCTCATCGACAACATAGAGGCTACCTTGAACATCGAATGATAAACCTGTGGGACGATAGAACTGATTTAGTTGTTTTCCTTCTCCATTTCCACCAACAACAATACTACCTTCGCAAGATCTTTTACACCAACGCATTATTCGATGATTGCCATAGTCAGTCACATAAACATTACCCAAATGATTGACAATCACTCCTCGAGGAAAAGACAATTGTGTCAGACCATTCCCTCTACCTTTTCGACCAGCAACAACAATACCTTCTTTTGCACCTTTCATCCATTTTATTACGCGATGATTGGTTATATCCGAAACATAAACTGAATGATGTTCATCAACGAAGATATAAGTAGGGTGATGAAGTTGATTGAGATGATTTCCTTGCCCATTTCCACCTGCAACTATTGTTCCTTCTGTGTCTCCTTGTTTCCATCGTCTCACTTCACTCTTCCAATAGTCAGTGACATAAAAATCTCCATTGTTATCCATTGTTAATCCCCAGCAATCAATGTCAGAAATGATTGTTTCTCCATTTCTACCATTTTGACAAGACCATCGTACCACTCGTCTGTTTCCTTTGTCACAAATGATGAGAGAATCATTCTTTTTATCAACAATCACATTTGTTGGGAAACTCAATTGATCACTTCCATTTCCATTTCCATTTCCACCTGCAACAACTTGACCATTCTTTGCCCCATATTTCCATTCAACAATACGGTGATTTCCCCAATCAGCAATATAAATAGTTTGATGATCATCATCAACGTAGATACCTTCGGGACCATCGAGTTGATTTAATTGATTGCCTTGTCCATTTCCTCCAGCAATAGTAATTCCATGTTGTGTCCATTTTGTGTTGATATTAATATGATTGACAAGAGCTGATTGTCCTAAAAGAAAAAAGATTTTGTTTACATTTGAATAAAATTGATGAATAAATGTGAATAAAAAACGTGTTATTTTAAAATGTAAAAAAATAAAAATGATATTTTGTATAAAAAGTATGTTGAGAGTTTGTTTTGTTGAATTAATATGTTGAGGATGAAGATGAAATAAAACAAAAATGGTGTGAATTAGTTTAACTGTAATTTGAATTTAATTTAATTTAATTTAAAATTTATTCAATAAAATTGTTTCTGTATTGGTAAAATAAAAAGTGAAAAATATTTAATTTTTTTTGTATTTGAAAATAAAATTTAATTAATTTAATCTGAATAGATTTGTTTATCTTTGAAAAGGATTTCAACAATAAAAAATGAAAATTTATTTTGTTATGAAAATAAAAATATTTTTATTTAAAATGATTTGAAGTGAAAATGAAATAAAATAGTATGATGTTTGTTGATATAAACCTATGTTAAGATAATAATTTAATATGATTGATATTCTTTAGTGTAAATTTAATTCGAAGGAGACAAACATAAAGAAGATGTTTGAAAGAGAATATTGGGTGGATGTGGGTGTGAGTGTGAGTGATTGTGGGTTTAGAGAAGATAGATACCCAAACTCATACTCACCCACCCACACCCACATTTGCAATAAATATATTCAGTTGTTAATATAACTTTCTTTTCTTCTTCAAAAAACTATTCGAATGATTAATTTAATTAACAATTCTATAAAAGTTTTTCCAATTACGAAAAATATTTCGTTTAATTAGGAAATAAAAATTTCGAAGTTAGCTTTTATTCTTATTAATATAAATCAATTCATAAAAAGTATTTTAAATGAAAAACTTTGTTACTCTTCACAAGAATTTTTATGTTAAATATTTATTTAATAATACTCTCAATATCTCAACCATCTTGAGGGTGTAGGTGCGTGGGTGTGTTCTCTTTTTTTTGTCGACACCCATACCCTAATGACAAACTTTCACAACAAATGAAGATTGGTTATATCTAGTAGTCTAGCAAACTTAATATATTTCATTGTTCTATCATATTCAATCGACAATACTGCTTGTTTATAGGTCTATATGTATATAATGGCTAACAGACATAAACTTATTTTGACTATGTCTGATATAATATTTTAAAAAATTCTATTTAAGATAGTTCAATTTAGTTTAGAATTCTAAAAACTATCTCGACTTGCAAATATTTCGATCCAGAATTTCTTTAATATTCCTCGATTTCAGTTTGGTATGCTCTAAAATTCGAAAAACTTTAATCGATTGTATCACTTTGATTGAGAAGATAAACTGTTACAGAATTCATCTAATTGATAACGATGCATTAGCCAACTACTTTGCTCTTATTTGTTCATATTTATTCGAGCATTCTAAATAATTCAATCTCATTTTGTAGCTCTCGGTGTGCGATGTCTACCATAAGAAAATAAGATATTTGACAATAAATTTCAAGAACTATGATAGATACTAGATCACTTCTTTTTCGCAGAAATTTCCTATAATTATATGACAAGAATCTTATTAGCTATACTGCGAATCGTTTGATTAAAATGAGAGCAATATAGTGTAGAAGACTAAAGCATTGTTTGTATAATAGGAGAGATTTTCATGTTGAACCGGTTTATGAATCAACCATGCGTCTTCTTTTAAAGATTATACGAATATTAGTGAAAACCTAGCATGTTATAACTATGTGAAGTTCTGATAGCAAAACCTTAATTTTTTTCCAACTTCAAAAAGGTATTAGTGAATGCTTCGCAGAATTTTAAGATAGATGAATGTCTTTCATATAAAACTATGTTTGTAACAATCATATTTGAACTGAATGATGTATGTTTATGCAATAAGAGTGATTTAATCAAAGCTGTATCCTTTAATTTAACTTGATATTAAGTTTTCTTACTTAACACTTGATTCACTTAAAATTACGTTTCGGTCATTACAATAGGCGAATGTCACATAATTTCGAGTTTTTATCTACTCGAATACGGATACATTATAGTATTGTTCGGACTATACGAAGACGGACCTCTACTAACCTTTCGATTAGCCCGAACAAGACTGTTGTTTGTTATTGGGTGTGGGTATATGGATGAAGAAGACATTCACACACCCACACCCAGACCCACACCCACACCCACACCCACACCCTGCGTAGGATGAACTCGTATATGGGTGATATGAATGATCTCATAATATGTTGAATACAATCCAGTAACTTAGTTCTATACATCGATATATAAGAATCCAGTTACTGTGTGTTCTTTCAGATAAACATTCTGGATCACAAAACAATGAAAAGCGATGAAAATGTTCTCATAGCCCAAAAAATGATATTTTGTGATTAAAACAGAGATGGATACGATTCCGGTTTTTCAGAAATGGACCAAACTGAAAACCGAAGTCTGTTTAAAAAATTGTGAATCAATCAGTTCAGTTAATAAACCGAACTACGCCCACACCTAGATTGAAAAAAACAATGACACTAAGCGAAAATCTATAGGAATTTTTTATCCAGAATCTTAGAGTAGTAGGACCTTCTATTACTGAGTTTCAGCTTGTCTTTAAATATCTTTGTATAAAATGGGAAGTTTCTATGTACTATTCAGTTAAATATGTTCCCACGTTAATAAAAAGCAAATTAAATATATGCTAAAGGTTTTCATTCGACATACCTTTTCTTTTAAAAAAAAAATCTTCATCAAGACATGAATGTAGCCATGGTCGCTGTCTTCGTTGTGATTTTAATTTTATTTCTTTTGAGACTTCTTTCAACATATCTTCGAGTTTTATATTTGATGTCGAAATATGATTTAATAGTGAATATGTAAAAAAACTGTTTCCATTCGTATGAGGACCGGCAGCAAATGATACCGTACCAGGATCAGCTGAATAGATTAAGACAAACTGAGATTGGTTAGGTAGACGAACATGTCCTGACAGGGCTTTGCCAAAGGCGGGTTTGAGGGTGTGTTCATTTTCCGCACTTGTAGCCTTCGTTTTCCACGTATCATTTTCTTGGTCAGCACGACATGCATCGAGTATAATAATATTTAATAAATTATCTCCACAGTTATTCAACTGTTTTAATAGTTCTTCCAGATTGATACAATCAAACTCAGGGTCTTGTATGTTTTCAATTGGCACCAAATAGTTTTTACCCTAAAATAGTATCATAACTTATGAGTTCATACAGAATTTTTTGCGGGGCGAGTATGAGTGTGGATATAGATATTTATCTTTATTTAGACACACCTACTACCACATTCACCCATCTGTATTTAAATCCGAAATTAGCGATTATAGAGAGTGCTTTTCAGAAAAGCATATATCAGAAGATACTATAATATTCACTTACTTTGGCTTCCATGCCATGTCCTGAAAAATAAACTAGTACACAATCATCATTCAGAATAATTGCACAAAAATCTCGAATGGCAATGTCCATCTGACGCTTGTTTTGATCGAGATATACTGTGCAATGAAAACCTGAAAATATTTTTCCAATGTATTACAATTTCAAAAAAACTCTGAATTATTTTACTCACCTAGCTCTTTTAACTTGGCGCTTACATCTTTTGCATCCTTCCGACAACTGTTTAATTTGTTCTTTGGATAGCGATCATTACCAAAAACTAAAGCCAATCGTCGACGATCCATGTATTTAGTTTTTCACTTTCTAAAATATCCATTCAAATATTTTTTGGGTATGAACTCTTCTAAGATGCAAGAAAGAAACGCTTGCATTTGCAGTTCTGATGGAATATTTACTATGCTCAGGCGTGGTAGGATGTGGGTATGGGTGTGAATGTCGGTGTGAGGTGGGTATGAGATGGATATGTGTTAGCGTCAGTGATGATACATGCTGATGCTAAACGAAGGCTAGCTGTTCCTTCTAGTACAACTAGTTCGCACATCTGCCCGGATAGCAGAAGATACGTAGTTCGAATGCGTGAGGGACATATTTTTCTTCGTTTTTTCACATAACATCGGTGATATCTTTTTGTCTACAGCTCTTTACAAATGGAAGCTAACAGAGGGAATGCATGCGGGTCGGTTGTGGACGCCTATCTTCTCTTAACTCAGATCCTACACGCACACCCTCAGTATTCAAGAAACCATGAAAGATGCTCCCGAGACATTTGCTCGTGCGACAGTTGCTCCCCGGACATTTGCTCCCCATGGACACTTGCTCCCCAACGACATTTGTTCTCCAGACATTTGCTCCCGCGACACTTGCTCCCCGAACATTTGCTTCACACGGACATTTGCTCCCCAGTGGCACTTGCTCTCCTGAAATATTTGCTTTCCAATATTAACTGTCGATCGACAAGATGATCATTATTAATAGAGTGTGGGTGTGTGTGTTATAATCTTTTCTCCAACTATATCATCTTC